AACTGGTCTGTTTCCAGATCTTAACTATCGTAAATTGTGCTGCTATGTACATAAGGAGGGGTGCATATTCTTTCTGATTGGTGTTTTCGGGATTCTTAGGATATATTCCTAGAAGTAGGATCATTGGGTCAAATGGGAGTTCCATTTTTAGTTTTTTGAGGAAACTCATAATGTGCCTTTGTTTAGACTGCCCTGTTCCAAGGGGAGAAACCACAATCCCAGAGGAGGATAGTGTGGCTGATGTCTCCTCTTTGCTGGGTCCCAGGAAAAGGATCCCGCCCTGGCTGTGATCACCTACGTGGGGCTGAGCCTCTCTCTGCTGTGCCTCCTCCTGGCGGCCCTCACCTTCCTGCTGTGCAAAGCCATCCAGAACACCAGCACCTCACTCCACCTGCAGCTCTCAGTCTGCCTCTTCCTGGCCCACCTGCTCTTCCTCACGGCCATCGACAGAACTGAGAACAAGGTACTGACACTGTCCCAAAGGACCCCTCTCTTCCCCGGGGGATGCTGCTTGGGCACCTTAATAAAATCGCTTTGGTTTCTGGGAGAGGTTGGAGGGGTGATGCCAAGGTGGGCAGTGTTGACATTGATCAGCAAGCACCTTTATTATTGATGGACTTGGTCTAATGTCAGGTGCTCTGAACTAATGCCGGTATAAAGGAGAGGCCCTCAGTTCACACACCACCCTAAGTATCCCACCTGGTGACTCACCCCTCCCCAGGTGCTGTGCGCCATCATCGCGGGCGCCTTACACTACCTCTACCTGGCCTCCTTCACCTGGATGCTGCTGGAGGGCCTGCACCTCTTCCTCACCGCGCGCAACCTGACGGTGGTCAACTACTCCAGCATGAGCAGATTCATGAAGTGGCTCATGTTCCCGGTCGGCTATGGAGTCCCAGCTGTAATCGTGGCCATTTCCGCAGCATCCAGGCCTCACCTTTATGGAACACCTGAACAGTGAGCTTGCCTCACACCCTGGGCCATGGACAGTTTGGGGGGCAGCATTAATGACGGTGATTGAGATGTCCATAGCAAATGGATATCTTTTCCCTTGAGTATAAGAGTGCTGGCCTTGCTCCAGTGAAGCAGGGAAAGATGGCCATAGGAGCTTGGAAGGTTCTGAAGGAGGCAGTTTCGTGGATAGGTACCAGCTTTATCCCTCCCATAATTCGGAGCTTTCAAGTCTCAGATTCCTCTTTAGTATTATCCCCATTTTCCCACCATCATGACCTTGGTATGAACATTCAACACAACTGTGCTTATAACATGTGTAATGTAGCATTAACACACAATAGTGAGCAATCAAAGCCTTCATTGCCATCAGCTGGCATTGTCAGAAGACATTGGAAACGTTCTCTGTTAGGAAAAGTGTCACTTCATGTTTGTTTCGTGTGCTTTCTCTGACCTCGCCATGTCCCTTTCCACATTATTCCCAGTTGCTGGCTCCACCTGAAACAAGGATTCATCTGGGGTTTCCTTGGCCCCGTCTGTGTCATTATCTGCGTGAGTATGTGGCTCCAGGGGTCCTGACCAAAGGAAGCACCAGAAGTACTGGGTGCAAGACAGTACACGGGGCATGCATTTTCTCTATTGAATGGTTCACTTTTCCACCTGCTACCAATTCAGTCCTGTGTGCAGGGAAAGTAGGAGTTGTGTGTAATTTATTAAGGACGCCATGCATTATTTTAACTTGCATTCCTGGTCTGCGTCATTCCTGCAGGTGAACTTAGTATTTTTTATCTTGGTCCTTTGGCTTTTGAAAAAGAAATTCTCCTCCCTCAACAGTGAAGTGTCAACCATCCAGAATACAAGGTAAGATGGAGCACATGGTATGTCTGATGCTCTCTTCCTCTCCGTACCCCCTTCTTGTCCCTCCTACATATCTACACACACATACACCCCACAACCAGGCTCCAGGGACTAGCAAGGCTGCTGTCATCTCCCAATATCCGTATTAGATAGAGTACAGGCTAAGCTACTGAGACAAAAAGACACCCCATCAAAAAGAATGAAATAGAAGTTTATGTTACTCTCATGTCACAGTCCAGAGGCGAGCAGTCCAGGGTTGGTGGGGAAGCTCTGCTCCACAAAGTGATGCAGAGACTCAGGTCCTTTCTATTTTGTTTCTCCACCATTCCCTAAGATGTTGTCTTTGTCAGTTTCCCATCCATGGGAAGTTGCATGGCCCACATTTGCTCATGTTTTATTGGCTAGACCTTAGTCACATGGTGACAACTAGCTTCAGGGGAGGCTTGGGAATATATAGTCTCTAACTTGGTAGCCATGTGTCCTTGAAAAAACTCAAAGAGGGGAGGGATCTAACCCTAAAAGGAAGAGGAGGAGAACGGACAAAAACAGCAGTTTCTGCCACACAACACAAGATGCACACAGGAGTACTCTTTTTATCAAAAACAATCAACTTAAGTTTGTGAATCTATCAGTTGCTGAAGGCTTGGATTCTATAGAAACTCTGAAAGTTGTGCTTCTGAAGGATGCCCCAGCAAAACTGGGTTCACCCCACTGGTAGAGACCGATTTGGCTAATTATAACAAACTGAAATATATATCTAAAGAGTTTTGTGTAATGGGTTTAGAAAGGATTTAGATTAAAATATTTTTTATATAATACTATTTCAAAAAATTGGGGGCTATGAGCTTTTTTTATTTGGCAGCATCCATTTTACTTGGAACACATAATTTGTTGCTTTCATTTTCATCACAAAAATAACACAATATATACCTTTTTTTCAAAAATATATAAAGTGAAATGGTTAACGCCCTCTTTTCTTACTACTTCCACTTCGCAAGAAAGCTGGAATTAACAAACTTTATGACAGGTATGATATAATATGCGTGATATTTTCCCCAGACCTTTTTCTGTGGATTTCTATAGAACAGACAGGCACACATACAATAGCCAACACACTCCGCAAATCGTTCCTCAACCAGCTTTTCTCACATAAAACATTATGGTTTAAATTAGGGATAAATATGTATACTGCATATGTAGGTATATAATGACCTTACATATCAGTTTGCCTGGGACAGTCCTAGTTTATGCCTGTTGATCCATTGTAATTATTTTTTTTAAATATATTTTATTGATTTTTTACATAGAGGAAGGGAGAGGGATAGAGAGTTAGAAACATCGATGAGAGAGAAATATTAACCAGCTGCCTCCTGCACGCCCCCTATCGGGGATGTGCCCGCAACCAAGGTACATGCCCTTGACCGGAATCGAACCTGGGACCCTTCAGTCTACAGGCTGACGCTCTATCCACTGAGTCAAATCGGTCAGGGCCATTGTAATTATTAATAATGCCCTTTTTAATCTCAAAGCCTAGTTTATGCCTGTTGATCCATTGTAATTATTAATAACGCCCTTTTTAATCTTAAAAGTCTCCCTGTTTGAATAACAGATTATATGGCCCTCCATCTATAGAAGAGAAAGAAATAAAGAGCCCCTAGTTTTAGAATGCTTTATGTATACGTGGTACTGATTTTGTTCTATATATTATCCTAAATACATATGTTAAAGTCTCACTTAATCTTTTCAGCAGCCCTGTGAAACAGGACTATTAGAAAGATGGGGGAACCCGAGTTATAGAAAGGTAATTTGCCCAACGTCACACCATGCTGCCTTAGGTTTAAACCCAAGCAGTCTAGCTCCAGAGTCCTCACCATTAACAACCACTCTACAAGGGTGTCCATGTCCATTACCAGCTTGTGTACATGTTCCTTTATACTCCCCTCAGGATGCTGACACTGAAAGCAGCAGCCCTGGTCCTCATCCTTGGCTGCACGTGGTGTCTGGGCATCTTGCAGGTGGGCCCAGCTCAGCGGGTCATGGGCTACCTCTTCACCATCATCAATAGCCTTCAGGGTGTCTTCATTTTCCTGGTCTACTGCCTCCTCAGCCAGCAGGTAAACATTTACCCTTTCTTTATTGTTTTAAAGTTAAGAAAAATTTACAGGTATGTAGTTTAATGAACATTTAGATACATATTCTCTAAATTTTCATAGGAATTTGTGAGCAGTGTGTAAATGCTACCTGTATTTTCTCTACTTTGAGATGCTCTTGATTGTGAGATATGTCCATTTGTTAATGGCTTTACAAGGTAAATAATTACTCTATCAAGGAAATATCATATTTGTTTTCAGCTTTCCCATGTGTAATTGTCATCTATTTCTGTGTTAGCAAACAACCTCAAAAATCTCAGTGGCTTAAACGTGAATATGTACTATTCTCATTCTCAGTCTGCAGGTTGGTGAGAGCTCAGATGATCTTGGCTGGCCTTAGCTTGGCTTGGCTATAAAAATTCATATATATATTTTATATTCAGTATGACTACTAAATACAAGCCAATTCATGGGTCTGCAGTTGAGCAAACGAAACAGGAGTGTGTATACAACACTCAGGAAATACTGGCTGCTTTGGGCTTGTTGAAATAAGCCTCTAAGATGTTATCTAACTAAGAGGCACTCAGGGATCGTTTGGACTGTATGTTTTCTCTAGAATTGAACCCCAGACATAATGAAACCCTACTGAATACTAGCAAACTACGCTGAAATACTTCTATCTAGATTTAGTTAAATTATATTACGTCTATAGAACAGGATACTACGCAACCATGAAATATAATGTAGAAGACTGGAACCCCAATGAAGCTGAGTTCCACATAGTTCAGGTCAGGAGGTACAATGGCCAAATAAACATAGTCCAGCAACCAGAAGAAATACAAAATCACAAAAGGTCTTTATTCGTACTTCTCAAATACCTTGAAGAAGACACATGGTCCAAGTATCCCTCAGATTTTGAGATTGCTTGTTACTGCAGCAAAATACCGTATGTCCTGACTGACACAATTTCTTTCCTGTTACTAGTACTATCTTCCTCCTGCACTTTCTCCTCCTCCTTCCTCCACCTTCCTTCTTCCTCCACCTTCCTCCTCCTCCTCCTCCTCCCCCTTCTTCTTCTTCTTCTTCTTCTCCTCCTCCTCCTCCTACTCCTTCTCCTCCTCCTCCTCTTTCTTTTCTCTCCCTCTTCCTCTCCCCTTCTTCCATCCATCCATCTTTCTTTCTCTCCCTCCTTCCCTCCTTCTCTCCCTTCCTCCTTTTTACCTCACTCTGCATTCAGGTGCCCAAAAAACCAAACTTGGAAAGGAAGAACATCATCTCCTCAGTGGATGAAGAAGAGGAAGAAACTGAGCTGACCAAGCTAACACTTCCTAGAGAGCAAAGAGCCACCATAGGCTTGAAACATACAAATGTTAATCTTCGTCCATACACAAAAATATTTTAGGACTGGAAGGATATTCAAAATATATTAGGAAAAAAAAGCAAATTTCAAAACATTGCTCCAGAAATGTTGCATTTTGTTTATATATAAGCCCTTATTGTTTACTAGAGGCCTGATGCACAAAGATTCGTGCAAGAATAGGCCTTCCTTCCCCTGGCTGCCAGCACCACCTTCGCTCCGGCCCAGAGCCGCATTTCTGCCTTCGCTCCAGCCCAGAGCTGCCTTCTGCCTCTCGCCTTGTCACGTCAACTTGCATATTCCCTCCTTATTGGCTGTGGGCTCTGCCATCTTTATCATGAAGTGATGGTTAATTTGCATATTACTCTTTAATTAGATAGGATGCTGTTATGCATTTGTTTATGTGTGGGTATAGGTGTACATGGCAAAGTACAATGGTTCTCAAACAACTCCCCAGGGGGAATATTTAGCAATATCTAGGGACATCTTTGATTGTCACACCCAGGGAAGGTGCTACTGGCATCTATTGGGTAGAGGCCAAAGATGTTGTTAAACATACTACAGTGCATAGGATGACCTCCACCACAAAGGATGATCCAACCCAAGATGTCAATAGTGCCAAGGCTGGAATCCTTGGTGTAGCACATACTGTTCATGGCCCCCTCATAACTCTTTGCCTTCATCTCTATGTGCCGTGGGTTGCTTATTGAAAACACCTGGGACTCTATGCCTATGAGCTTCTTACTGCCCACAGGACATGCCTGACCCATGCACAGGACAAGCTGGTGGATAAATGTCCCAGATACCCTTGTCTCTGAGGTGGGATGACACTGAAGTGTTTCCTATGCTAACTCCCAGAGGTCCCAATGGGACTGAACCCCAGTTGTCCACAGTGGAAAGGATTGGGTACCTTTTATTTCATATATTTTTATTGATTTCAGAGAGTAAGGGAGAGGAAGAGAGAGATAGAAACATCAATGATGAGAAACATCAACGCTGAGGACAAACATCATTGATTGGCTGCCTCCTGCAAGATGGACTGAACCCACAACCCAGGCATGTGCCCTTGACCGGAATCGAACCTGGGACCCTTCAGTCCACAGGCCGACACTCTGTCCACTGAGCCAAACCAACCAGGGCAGGATTGTGTACTTTTTACTGACTGCCTTCCCAGCCCTATCTCACTTCCTCACTGATTTACTAGTGTTTTCCTGAGAACACCTCCCAGATGAACTCTTTACACTTGAACCCTGCCTTGGGGTCTGCTTCAAGAGACCCCAAACAAGACACATGGAAGAATATCACCAAAACATGAATTGTCTTTCACTAGATTAAGGAGTTATGTATGGCTTCTATTTTCTTCCTCTGCATAGCATATTTTGTATGTTTCCACACAAAGATGTATTCCATAATGAAAATTATTATTATGGTAAAATATATATATAACATAAAATGTATCATTTTAACCATGTCTAAGTGTACAGGTCAGTGGCGTTAAGTCCATTCACATTGTGTGCAACCATTACAACCCATCCTCTCTAGAACTTCTTTGTCATCCCAAAATGAAACCCCATACCCATTAACAATAACAACTCATTCTCCCCTGCCTAGCCCCTGGCAACCACCATTCTACTTTCTGTCTCAACTAGTTTGAATGTTATAAGAATCTTATATATGTGGAATCATAGTGTATTGGTCCTTTTGTGATTGGCTTATTTTACCCAGCATAGTGTCTTCACGGTTCATCCACGTTGTAGCATGTGTTCAAATTTTATTCGTTTTTAAGGCTAAGTAACATTTTATTGTGTGAATAAACCACATTTTGTAGGAAAAGATTTTTTTCCATAATTTCACTTTCCTCTTCCCGACTCTGCCTTTTCTCTTCTCCAATATTAACAAAAACCATCCTGGTATTTCTTGTTCCAGGTTCGAAAGTGGTTTGGAAACATCATGAAACCTAAATCTGAATCTGAGACTTATACACTTTCCAGCAGGTTTGGCCCTGACTCAAAACACAGTGCGGTAAGAAGACTTCTGACTTATTCTAATGTTTCACCCCTTGACACTCCAAACTTCCTCTCCTTGTTTTAATATGAGCTCCCCTCCCTGGAAGGTATGGGGAAGAGGTACTTTCTCTGATGACCTGGTTAGCATTCCTTATTCTCACTATATTGTTTCTAGTGACCCTGCTCACTAATAGTGCTTAAGCTGGCTTTGGTATTTATTATTTTTTAAAATATATTTTTATTGATTTCAGAGAGAAAGGGAGGGAGAGAGAGAGAAACATCAATGATGAGAGAGGATCATAGATTGCCTGCCTCCTGCACGCCCCACACTAGGGCGCCTGAAACCTGAACATGTGCCCTGATCTGGAATCAAACCAGTGGCCTCCTGGTTCATATGTTGATGCTCAACCACTGAGCCACACTCGCTGATTTTAGAAGTCCTCCAACTATAAACTAAGGCCACACCTGTCCGAGGATTCTAAAATACTAGGAGATCATGCCATCCTTGCCTACTGGATGGAGCTCTCTGGCTTTAACCCACTCCTACTCTTCCTCTCTGCTTTCTTGTTGTTTGTCTTTTTGTTTTGTTTTATCCTTATCTCTACCCTTAATCTAAACATCTTTTGTGGTGGGAATATCTTTTCAGGACAAGTGAAGAGAAAATATTAAAACTAGAACTTTCAACTTCACATGGAAAGTCATATCCATGGATCTGGTTGGCATTATGAAGAATGAAGCTGAGGACAAAAGGAATCATTATACACAACATCCCTAGAGAAGAAATGTTTAACCTGTACTTCCTGAAGTGTTTGTTCTGCATAATGGGCTCTCGATAAATGAGTGTTGAGTTGGATTTCTCTTATTCAACCAATGCTTGTCCCTGGTTACCCAAATCATGGCTGTTGCAAATACTTCTTGTAAATGAGGAGGTCCCTTTCATGGCCTTGTCTCAAGTTAAACTTGTTCTTTAAACTCATCCACTCCATCAGCTTTGCCTTCTTTCTTATCCAGGCTAGATTTCATGATCAACCAGATCAAATGATTCTCTCTCATACTTTTAGCACCTTTGCCTTCTCATTCCACACCTATGGGGGAAGACCCCAATCCAGAAGTGATCCAAAGATGGCAGGCACTGTGCATTGTCTATTCAGCAGCCATCACCACGTCATATGTTCCTTATTAACAGGAACTTGACTGTTTTAGGATTTGAGACAGCAATGTGCCTGAATACAGGGGATCAGTTAGGATTGGTTTGAGCTGAATGATAATCAGTTAAAGAGAGATTACTTCCCTCCCTAATGAACATTTGACAATGTCTGAAAAAGATTTTTTGTTTTTATCACTGGGGCAAAGTGGGGTGCTACTGGCATCTAAGTGGTGGAGGTCAGAAATACTGCAAAACACCCTACAGACAGACCACACACACAGAGCAAAGAATTATTCCTCTCCGGGGCTGAGGTGGAGGAGCCCTGGTCCTAACTAACCATACTGACAGTATTCCTATTTGCTAAAGATTGTTTCAGGATGTGCATGTGTACCAATTGTGACCAATGAGATATAAAAAACACCCATTGGAACCCTTTCTGGGTTGGCTCAGTGAATAGAGCATTGGCCTGTGAACTGAAGGGTCCTGAGTTCGATTCGACTCAAGGGCACATGACTGGGTTGCAGTCTCCATCCCCAGTAGGGGGCGCGCAGGAGGCAGCCAATCAATGATTCTCTCTCATTATTGATGTTTCTATCTCTCTCTCCCTCTCCTTTACTCTCTGAAGTCAACAAAAATACATTTTTTTAAAAAGCAAAAATAAGCCAAAACCGGTTTGGCTCAGTGGATAGAGCGTGGGCCTGCGGACTGAAGGGTCCCAGGTTCAATTCCGGTCAAGGGCATGTACCTTGGTTGCGGGCACGTCCCCAGTGGGAGATGTGCAGAAGGCAGCTGATCAATGTTTCTAACTCTCTATCTCTCTCCCTCCCTCTCTGTAAAAAATCAATAATCAGCCTTCTTTATGTACCAACCGTGTTTCTTCTCCACTCTCCAACAAAGCAGTGAGATCCCAGGACCACTCAGCTTGGAGCCATTACAAATGTGTACTTTCTAATCTAAACAAGACCCTCCATGCTACCTGACACTTGCTTTTCCTATCCCTAGTCAACTTTCCCACATGGGGAGTTTCTGTTTTCACTTCCTTTCTCAATTCACATCACTGTTTTCCTTTACATAAGGTGTAAAACCTTGTTTTCTACCTTACAGAGATAATAAACATCAGCTGATGGAAAGTCTCTCAATGTTCTGGCATCTCTTGCAAATATGCCCACATCCATGCCCGTCCTTGCCTCATCGATGCCCATTGTTTTCCCCTCCATTCTTCCACAACAGCAAAGGGATCCCTCATCTTATTTAAAGCTAACCTGTCCCTCTGTGATTTAGAGCTCAGCCCCTCCTGTCTCTTGAGCAGACCTTTCTCCATTGATTCTCTCCTGAGTTTTCCACCTCTCTCACATTTTTTCCTTAGTTCTCCAGTGGCATTTAAATATGCTAAAGCTTACACAGCAAACTTTCCTCGTAAAGAGCCAGATAATAAATATTTCAGACTTTTGGGGCCATATATAGTGATAGAGATGATGATGATAGACAGATAGATAGATATATATGGATATAAATCAATAGATACACACCTGATATATAGGGTGTTCCAAAAGTGTATACACACACTTTAAAATTATCAAGACAGTGTTTATTAGAATACATTTCATTTTCAAAATTGAGCTATCAGCTGTTAAAGTGTGTATACATTTTTTGAAACATCCTGTATGTGCTATATGTGTAAAGGGATATATGTGTGTATCCCTTTAGAAATACAAAAACTCAAAAAAAAATACAAAAACCTACTTGCCATACAAAAAAAAAAAAGACTGCAGGCAGAATTTGCCATCCCACCCAACAACCACCACCAAGCTATAGTTTGCTGTCCCTGTCCTAAAGAAAGAGAAATAGAAGTCTCTAGGAAAATGGCCACCTATATATGTTTCAACTTCCTCCAATCTATTCCCTAATGTATCTGCTTTTTGAACCAAAAGTCTGCTGGGGCTCTACCATGTGCCAAACCAGGTAGAAATCCCCAAAGAAAAATCTGGAGTTGAAAGGTCTCCCCATGCACCAGGTGCAGAGTCCCAAAGAAGCTAAAGAGTGATCTAAGGTAAAGATTGGACACAGCTCATCCTAGGAAGAGTCTGGCCCAGGGGGTCATAGGCCTCCTGGGATAAGGTCAGCATCACTCCCATGAGTGTGTGTCTGATCCCTCTGACCCCCAAGAACTCCAAGTAGGAAGCAAGGAGAGCAGGGAACAGAAAGGCACCTGCCTGGTGCACACATGGCCCCCCTGGGGTAGAGAATCAGTCTCCTTCCATCAGTTGGGAAGCTGCCACTGCTTAAAGTTCTCAACCTCCAGATCTGAAAACCAAAGGCAAATGAGAACCTGAAAAGAGGATAGTCCAACATAATGGACACCCAGCAAAATAGAGCTTCTGGAATAGACAGATCACTTCAAATAAGCATAATAAAAATACGAATGTAAAAAGATTAAAGTACAGCACCAAAAAGATGTAAATAAAATGGGAATAAATAAAAAGAGGAGTTTTTCTGGATGAATTAAAGAAGAGGATGATCACTGTCAAGGGCCAAAGTAGTGGCTTGGAAGACCCTGTGGAAGAAATATCTCAGAGCACAGAGCGAAATGCCAAAAGATGAAAATCATGAAGGGAAAAAAATCAGTCTAGGAGACCCAAGAGATCTAATGTGGAATAACAGGGGTCACTTTTGCAGTCACTGCTTGGCCTTGTGGGAAGGGACACCTCCACCCCCCCCCCCATCAAAATTCTCCCTGTTGCAATACACTGTCCTTATCTTTCTCTTCACAGCCAAAATTCTAGAAAAGTTTACATTCTGCTGCCCCGACTCCCTCCCATCCCCTCACTGCTCAACTTGCTGCAGTCTGACTTCTGCCCAGCGTGCCCAAGAGTCGGTCAATGTCCCAAATGCTTCCTCAGTGCTAAGTGCACTCAGTCTCTTCTAACTTGACCGAACTTGATGTTGTCGGTCCCCTTTTATTCTTGTTGGGTTTTTTTAGCTTTATCTAGTGTTTTTGGTTTTGTCTAGCTTTATTGAGGTATAACTAACTAACTAACAATTGTGTCTATTTAAAATGTACAACATGATGATTTATCTACATCTACTTTTCTTCTTGAGGTTTTCACTTTTTTTTTTTACTTCCCTGACACCACACTCTTTTCCTATAAGTGTGGCAGCTCATCCTAGTTTTTCCAGGACTTTCCAAGCTTTGATACTGAGAGTCCTGCACTCCAGGAACCCCTCCATCCCAGGCAAACCAGAACCATGTCACAAACTCATCTTTCCCTGTCCTGTGATGTCTCAATTTGGGTTCCCCAAAGAGCAAACTCTGAGACGAGGATTTGAGTGCAAGTAGTTTATTTCAGAGGTGATCCCAGGAACACCAGCAGGGGTGTAAAGAAGTGAGTCAGGAAGGAAAAGGTAGCCAGTACAAGATGAGTTCAAGGATGTGTTATTAGTGGACTATTGCTGTAGGAGATGGGAGCTTAATACCAGCAGGGACCTCTGGGCAGTCCGTGGGATGCTTATCTCAGAGACATCTCACCTGAGGGGTGAGGGAGCTAGGGTATATGCCCACTAAGGCTTTGGTAAGGTGTGTTCTGGTAAATATTTTCCACCTGGCACTTCTCACCTGCCATGTGCCAAACCAGGTAGACTCTGGTGGCAGCTACAAGCCATTAGAAGTAACTGAAAGCATAAGAATCAAGGCTATAGCCCTGACCGGTTTGGCTCAGTGGATAGAGTGTTGGCCTGTGGACTGAAAGGTCCCAGGTTCGATTCCAGTCAAGGGCATGCACCTTGGTTTGGGGCACATCCCCAGTAGGGGGTGTGCAGGAGGCAGCTGGTTGATGTTTCTCTCTCGTTGATGTTTCTAACTCTCTATCGCTCTCCCTTCCTCTCTGTTAAAAATCAATAAAGTATATATTTTTTTAAAAAGAATCAAGGCTATAAGCAGGATATGGCAGCATCTGCTCCACACAAGATTTCATTCTTTTTTTCTTTTTAAAAATATTTTTATTAACTTCGGAGAGGAAGGGAGAGGGAAAGATAGAAACATCAATGATAAGAGAGAATCATTGATCAGCTGCATCCTGCACACCCCCTACTGGGGATCAAGCCCACAACCCTGGCTTATGCCCTGACCCAGACTCAAACCATGACTTCCTGGTTCATGGGTCTATGTTCAACCACTGAGCCACACCCATCAGGCAAGATTTCTTTCTTGACCAAAGAGAAGCTCTAAGAATTTCAGCAAGAGTTCATGAATCATCTAAATTTCAATGTGTTATGTTCATAAGCTTTTTTTCCTTCTCTATCTCTAAGTAATGATAACTCCATCTTTTCTATTGCGTAAACTGAAAACCTGAGGGTCCTCCTTTACTCTTCTCTTTCTCTCACACCTCATATTCAATCCATGAAACAAATTAGCTATAGCTTCAAAATAGAACTAGAATACATCCTACTTTCAAAATTAGCTCTTTGGTCCCCATCATCTATCACCTGCATTATGGTAATAGCCCCAGGAGAGCCACAGATCATTGTCATCAGACCTAGAAGTCAACTCTTGGTCTCTTATCTTAGCCCAGGATGTCTGTTCCTCCAAACCATGCTGTTCCTTTCCCATAACTGCCAGCTGAAATGAGAGCTACAAGGTCAGTGTCCTCAGAAATAACTCAAGTTTACAGACAGTCCCTCAGAAAGCAGCAGAGGTGCTATGAAAAAAGATGAACCACTGGAGGCAAAGACTGAGTCCAAATACCAGTCTGCCACTTACCCACTAAACGTCAATGGACAAGCCATGACACCCCTCTGTGCTCAGTATTTCTAGCTATAAAATGGGGTTGGTC